TGTAAATTATCATGTCACACATATTATGTGACGTGTAATAGCAACGTTGATATACTTTTCTTGATTATCATAAAAAATGAAATTATTTTTAAACATATTTACCTGCAAACTTCCGGATTTTCTATACTCATTTTATTGTCAGGTTCAAGTTTCTTTTTACATATTACTTCCTTGTTAGAATATTTATCACGTGGCATAGATTGAAAAAATGCTCGATTAAACGCAGCAATCACAAATTTCGGATGATCTATATAAAATAAGTATTGAAATGAAATAATGATAAAACATATAATGGTTATATATACAAAAAAAACATTATTTAAAAAAACGTTTATTATTTCAAACAAGTGATATAAATTTGATATAGATTAAGACCTATATAGTAAATATATAATAAAGAACATATAATAAAACACACACACAAATATAAAAAATTCAACTAAACGTTTTTATCCAATAGTTTTCTACGCCAAAAATTACCTTGCATATTACCACATAATTGTTCTTGTAGATTATTGTACATATTATTGTTTTCTTTTTCTTCATCTTTAGTTGTTCTCTCACTGATATCTTTTTGTGTACTATGTACAGTTANTTTTCTTTTTTGCCTATTTTTTATACATATTTTATTATTGGTTTTTCCATCATCATGATAATATTCTTCATTACGATCTTGTTTTCCTCTTGTACGGGTTGCACAAACTTTCTGTTTTAAAACTGTTAAAAAAATTATAGCAATGATATAATTTATTAGCAAGACACTCGGTATGTTACTAATTTTATCAAAAAATAAGATTTCACTGATCAACAAATAATAAAATAAAATTCACTTTTGAAAGTTTAATTCCACTTAAAAACATCTTATTTATAATAAGACAAAATAAAGCAGCTATAATNCAATAACTATTAGGTTTGTGCAAAAATAATTGCGTTAACTTATTGTTAGTCACTACATCACTTCTTTTTTTATATATGTGTATGTAATCTTTTTATTAGCTTTATATTACTTNTAGAATCAAAGAAATTAGAAAAAAATAAAACTAAATATCTAACAGCTATAACGGAAAATATTTAAACGTTCACAAAACTACTTAGTACCTTGTAGACGAAAATTCTTTGGTAATAACTTTTGTTCTAGTAT